CTTTTTCTGTGGAAATATTTTCTTCGTTGTGAATCTTTCTGCTGCATCACTCTGAGCCACAGTTGCAACAGTACATCATTTCATCTAATCACCACAGTTGAGAACAATTGTACATGTTAAATATGCTCTGTTGATGTGAGATATTCATTTATATAAAATTACTCACAATAATCTTGGTAGAATTATTCAAACCAGATTTGACCTGTTGATTTGACCTGTTCCTTTACCTTGCCAACAATGTATTGTTTTTACAAACATAAGTGGCTGTTTAGCTCATTAATAGCTCAAATAATGCCTAGATTCGTTTATGCCAATTCGTTGCAAGACTGTTTCTATGCTTAAACCTGTTCTTTTGAAATCTAATATAGATCAATAAGTGCAGCTGCAATTGTTTTCCCAAATTACTCCTAGATTGTGTCATTATTTTAAGCTTTGGAAAACCATTTGGAACATTTCTTGCATTCTGTCAACAAACCTGCGATTGGTTGATTTTTTTGCCAGTTTACAACAACATCACACCTCTTTGAATGCTGAAAACATCGTGTCATTATCTGTAATCCCGGCTGCCAGATTTAAGACAAAAAAGGCAATGTTCTCTGCCTCATGTTGTGGTGTGTAGCTGCATTTGCTTCAACTTAAGCTACACTCTGACTGTGTGTGTGACCCAGAAGTGAACGGTTATAGCTCCCAATAAAAGAGCAGAAGGGTTTTTTTTCCTTCTCTCACACACCAGCGCTGCAGGCCGGCACACATTCCTTCTGGCAGCTGAGCAGCCAATCGGATATGGGCATGCAAATGACAGGGGCGTGGCTCCTGACAGCTGGAGTGCAGGGTCTGAATGGAGAGTAGAATTAAATAAATAAGAGTAAAATAGAGTAGAGATGGAAAATCAGAGGAAAATTTTGGAGATGGAGTAAACTAATGAAGTACAAGGGATGAAGTGTAAAGGAGTGTGTGGCCAAGTGTTGGAGAAAAGCGGCTCTGTATTTCTATGCAACAGTGAGCGAGAGCAGAACAGAGTCCGCATGACAGCTTGAATGTCCTGCGGCTCCAGCTGATTAAATTCAGATGTATATCATGACCTAAAGACAGATGATTTTCCAGCTATAAAGTCATTATTCTCAAGTGTCATCTGCACAAAACGCAAGCACACGTTGCATAACTCTGCAAAAGGAAGGAGAATGAAGAGAATTTTCAGGAAGTTCTGGAAATTTTTGAGGATTATTTTCTCCTCAATTTTTTTCCTATGCAAAACAACGAAGGCAAAAACACGTTTCCAACTTAGAATTCACATACTTAATAAAAAAGCCTTAACCTTGAAGAACTTTCATTGAAATTTTTGAGAGATTGTGACATAAATAAGATAAATTGCTTTTTTATTTTTTATTTAAACTCCAAAAGTTCCATCTTACTGCATATTTATTCCCTTTGGGCATAAAGACACACCTTGTACAGGGAAAAGGTAAGCAAAATACAGTGCAGAAAGTTTGACTCCAGGCTGCATTTCAGCACACAGGACACCTTTATTAACCCCTGAACTGAGGCGCTTTCAGTCGAAGAAATGGGCTCAAGACTGGTATAAAAGCACAAATATGAACTTTCAATTTTAGGCGTATGAATTGAATGAAAAATTCTTCAACTAATTAAGATGCTAGTGTGCACTTTATCGTGAAAAGTTGGTTTGCATTGCTTTTCTGGTATGAATATCTGAATTTTGATACATTTTGATAATGTTTGATATTAAAATGATGTCGTTCATTTAAGGATGACATGCAAGCGAATCTGAAGGGGGAAAATACATTTCCATGGCACTTTATGATGTATGGAAATAGGCTAAACAATGACTGACTGCTAACAAGAACAGTCTCCAGTGTGGAAGTTACTACTGTGGGAAGAAGATAGTTTATCATATCAATGACATATTTATAATAAACTCAGAGCTGTCTAAAAGGGAAATGTATGTTTTAGGTAGTTTGGATTTTTTTCTATTGAGCCATCAATAGAAACATTTGGAAATGTTTGTAGACCTTTTTCTAATTACTGGACAATTTTGGCAAATATTGGACGATAATACATCAAATATAATTAAAAACAGCCTGTGTCTTGTTTGTATTATGAATCCAACAAGGATTGGAGGAATTACAAGTGTGTCCTCACTGATGCATCAAATACTTGCATGCATCTATGGACATAAAGAAATTGTTGATCAACTTTGATTTTAAGGATTTCATATCCAGAAAAGTTAAACTAATTGATTTATCAGTATTTTGTCTGCCATTTGCCCAGAGTAGAGGACATCAAGTGAAAGTTGTCTGAGTCCATCTTCTGGCCTGCTGATTTGTATTTCTCCAGTTCAAATATAAATAACTAAGTATGTATCATGTAATGCTGAATTATTCCCAAGGTTTAGGAAACAAATACTTTACATTTGCTCTACGAAAAAAATAATTACCGGTATGTTGATAACCTCAACAATGTGAGGTTCATAAGAAGTAAATTGGATATCAGCAGTTCTTTGTCAACTACTATAACAGCTTGCTTAGGTGCTGCATTTGTCTCTCATAAATCCAAAGTAACGATAATTTACTTCTTACTTCATGAGTTATTACTGGTAATAAATGTATTATGAATCATTTCAGATTTAGATTCATTTATTTGATGGTTTGTATACAGTGATCTAGTCATTGTCCTCAGATGGACAGTTTTGTCTCCCACTATCAAACACAAATTGACATTAAAAGAGAGACAGACAGGAACACATAATCCTGGATTACTGATAGTGAGCCATGGTTTCCCATTTCCACAGTGGTACAGCCCAGCCTAGTGGCTTCATACAGAGTGGACAACTTTATTTAGAACAGAGACAGGGGAGGTTTAAACCACAAGCAGACTGCATGGCTGACTCACTGACTAGAATAGAGGTCTACCTAAAAAAAAAAAAAATTGCTCTGTTTAAAAAAAGAAAAGTCTGGGGAACACAATGTGGAAAAAGAGAGAGTGAGGGATAGGAAACTGAGACATTCCTGCTGACATTAACCCCTCAGTGTGGAGCACTTCTCAATCTTTCCACCTTAACGTCACTAATCAAGATCGCACAGCTTGGCCAAGCATGGCATGTACTGAAAGCATGATATCATCAACTTAAGCAAAACATGACATATTGACAATATTTACAAAAAAAAAAAATGCATAAAATCATGTAGTGACTTTTACTTATAATGTCCTACTTTAAAGAGAGAAATCTGTCCATAATGGTAATTTTCCTCAAGTCTCATTAAAAGGCCTTTAAATTTTAGGGATTTGAAACCATAACATAGTGAAACTTTTGTAATGACTTCATACCAGGTCAAAATAGAGAAAGGATAAATTGCAGTGTCACAATTTAGAGGTTTTATCAGAGTTTAATCTGTGTGTACATGCAGAAAAAATGCGCTTTCTCATGATCAGAAAACATGTGGTGATTGTACCGATTAAAAAGCATGAATTTGTAAAAACACATTCCGTTTCTGCAAATTTACCATTTCTGTTCATGTATCAAGCACCCAAATGTGATGGTCTAATAATCATTTATATAGTTATAACTTCAGAAAAAAAAAACAGAATCCATTTTTTAAAAATATATTGTATTTATGAATCCAATAGATAGATGAAGAGTTAATAAGATACAAATTCTAGTCACTATATGTTAAAATCATACAAAAGGAGAATAAACCTAATTTAATGTGTTAATAGAGAAGGCTGATGTAAAACCAACATCTTGGTATGATTTAATAGTAACAAAATCATTAAAATGGATAAATTTGACTAGATTTCTGCTGCAGACTATCAAAGAGTGTCCAGTGTGGAATGACCCTTGTGGACCTTATTAGAAAACCTGATTTGATTACATTGGAGTTAGTGGAGAAGTTGAACTTAAACTTATTAAGACTGTGCTTTGACCTATAAAAGACCAGCTATGAGTTAAAATATGTACCCCGTTACCTCAAAGCTGTTGGCCTTCAACGTATTTGGATGATTTTAAAGTGTCTCCCGTTCATTAGTATTGGAATAATTTTTAGGAATATTTCATGCATCCTTTATTGTCATGCACGGCGAAACAATTTAAGATTACAGTTTGGTTAATCTGATAAACTTGGACAGAAAACCCATTTCGGGTCAATTAGCTCCGCCCACTGACAAACCAGTTCTGGCCTCCGCAGAAGCAAAGCTGCCTTTTATCCTGCTGCATTAGGCAGTACTTGTTTTAAACAGTAGATGTCACTACTGAGAACATCCATTCAGCAATTAGTGACGGAAGAAGAAATTCTTTTTTTGTTTTTGTTGTTGTTGTTCTTTTCATTTATTTATTTGTTTTTGTATCCCAGAATGTTACTTATTGATTTTTAGTGGGGAACAACATTTATTTTGATAACTTTTTATTGACTTATATTTCCAGAGTAGAATTGAATCACTTTCTCCATTTTCAGTTGGAAGGAACATTGATTCTGGTCAGTTTTTGCAAAATCGGAGTCAATGAACTGTTTTGTCTGTTGTTCTTTGTACAACAAAAAATATATTTAGTTTGCCTACACATTTAGTTTGCCTACACATCATTTCCAGTTATCAAATTAAATATGCAGAAAAAACTAATGCAAAAAAATCAAAATTATAACACAAAAAAATGCCTTCCCACAATCATTTAAAGAATAAGGAACAGTCAAGGTGATTTTGTTGCCTGTGACTTCAAATCCAGATTTTCAGTTTTGACTGCAGCACCTGCCAGTTGAACACGCAGGTTAACCAGTAACTCGCCTGCTTGAGTCTGTGCTCCCAGTTACACTTATTAGTTTGCACAATAAAAACACACATATGCACCGGGTCTGAACCCCGGATGTGTGCCAGGATCTCATAAATCCGCCTCCCTTCATGAGGTCCGGCTCCGGGCGGAACAGCCGGAGTGCGTTAATTCAGACGTAGCAGGAAGACACGCAGACAATCAGCTAATTAGACCCGCAACTTACCACGTTAGTGAGGAAATCACCGTCGCTGAGTTCCTCCAGGTCCAACAGGTTGGTTCCTCCGGAGGAATAGAGTTTCTCCTCTGTGAAACTGTCTAAGATAGACTCCATAGTGACTGTCTGTCTGTCTGTCTACTGCTCTTAAAAGACAGATGGACAGGGGGGAAAAAAGTCTTCAGATCAACTCATTAAAAGCAATACAGTTTGTTTTCAGACGGCTCCAGCCTCCTCTATTTGCAGCCGCAGAGAGACGAGCCTCGTCCAGCCGAAAGCAACTTGTCTCGGTGTCAAACGTGGAAATGTGATGGTTTACACATCATTCCGCGTCTCTCCTCCTCGCGCTGCGGCGGAGTCGCTCTCGGTCGTCATCTGCGCTCCTCTCCGCTCGCGTGCGCTCCCAGCCACGCGCCGATGAATATTCAATACGGCCCCGCCCCTTGACGTCAAATATGAAACATCCCTGCAAATTATTTGCGTGTGCTGATGGTTATTCAGTGTAGCCCCTCCCCGTGATGTCAATTTAGGAAGTTGTAAGGATGACCGAAACTATTTCTATATGCTAAATTCAGGACTAATGACAATTTTTTAAAATTTTCTTTCTTTAAATTTTGAATTCTAGACTCAAATTTTAAATTTTTATTCTAATTTTAGGAAAGCACAGATAATTTGACACTCTAATTAAACATGCACAAATGTGGGTGTATTTAAATCGGCAGTATTATACAAACTGTGTTAAATCCAGTTGTTATAAAAATGCTATATAGATATAAAACATGACTTGATAGAAATTTTACTTTGTAATATAATGCATTGAAATTGGGCTTCTAGCCCTCAAAACTCCATCTCTTTCTGAATTTTCACCTTCAGGAAGTGAGCACACTATCTATTAAGGCTTTAATAAGAGTTTTACCAGAGTTGCACTGAGAAAAAGGCCATGTCATGGGCTATCAATAGTTTTTAATGCAATACTTTGTAATCCACTTAAAAGACATGGATGGAAACTTGGCTAGTGACATGGGCTGAAAGGCCGCTCAGAAAGGAAGATTTGAATCTTCCTTTCAAATTATCTTATTGCCATAATGAATGAAAATTAAACAGTAGGAAATGGCTGAAACCAATATGCACTGGAAAATTAAAGTAATGTTTAACTAATCTTCCCTAGATAATTTGAGAATTGTTAAAATAAAGTTCAATAGAACATTTAGAGATTTTCCTGTGTTCATTATATAGTCAATAATCAATATCTATCAGCCCACAGCCGCTTTTAGCGTAGATAAATTTTTTTGTTGATTCTTGTGCAATATTTTTGAATGAACCATTTAGCTAATTGAAGGTAAAACATGAAGTTAATAAATGTGTATCTTGATTTACTTTCATAATGTGCTGCATTTTAAACAGTAAGATTAGAAAAGATAAAATTCGACAATAAATAACTCAAATGGACTCATCCGTCAAAACATGTTTCCTTGATTCATTGTTTTAATATATTCTGCGCTGCTTTATAAGCATATTTCAATTTACAAATGGTAATTTTGTGAATTATCATTTGACATAAGAAATCAGACTTACCTGAATGAAGAGCTGAAGGTTTAATTCCAGGTATTCATGTTCTCCAAAGGTTAAACTTGTTTGCTGTAGCTTTGTCTCTGTAATACTGGAAAAAAACAAAATCTTACCTTTTTGTCTGAGTTGCATGTCTAAATATTTTAGAGACTTGAAATAAGACAAAACCAACTCAAAAGTAACTTTTTAGCAATATGTAATAGCTTGTTTTTAGTCAGTAATTACTTAATATTGATAAAGTGCTTGTTCCATTGCCAGGTCATTTTACTTATGACAAGACATTTTTCCCTTGTTAAAACTGAAATAATCTGCCGATGGGACAAGCATTGTTTCATTCATATTAAGGAATTATAGACTTAAAATAAACTCGTTTCTTGCTGAAAAGTTACTTAGTAAGATATTGTGTTTTTGCAATGTACAAAGAGTGTGTTCTAAAAATTCCCATTGTATTTTAAATACTCTATAAAACTTGGAAGATTGTCAACGTTGTTACCTTTGAGATCCAAGTTATCACAATGTATTTTTCCTCATCATAGATGTAGCTACAATACCTGACACCACTTCAGTCCTTCATTAACATTGGAACAAATTTCTCTCCGTATTGAATCGGTTCTTAACATAATAAATCCCAGATGGAAATGAGCAGAGCATCGCCACCTTGGCAACACTCCTGCTTGCGAGTCTTAAAAGGTCAAACAATAATGTGAAACAACATAAACCTGTTCATGTGCTCTGATCACTGCAAGACCTGGCTGTCTCTTACTCTTATCTCACCGTTTCCTGCATATACAGAGCTGCTCACTGGAGGAAAAAGTGCATCAAGGTACATATGAGGTATATGAGATATATTTGATGAATAAGACCATCTGCAACCAAACCATGAATGCCATGTTGTCAATGCATCTGGGAAGGAATAAATGAGGTAAAACTCCAAAATGTTTTTCTGTTAGATCCTGAAAAACACTCAACACTGGTGAAGAGTTTCCCCTTCCAACAATAACATGGCCCTAAAAATCCAGCTAGAAGTTTGAATCTTATCGTGGTGAAGAGCTAATATGGACCAGTCAAAGTACAGGCCAAAAACCAACCTATAAGCAGTAACAAAGCTTCAAAATGTGACATTTGCGAGGCATGAAAGGTAAATTCTTACCCACTTTTAAGTTGCTAATAAAGCCTGTTGGCGTTTTAATCGATTTATGATGATTTACTGAAGACAAGTAGATGATTCTTGTGAAGATTGTTCATAAAAGGGTCACAGAAGATTCAAAATTATCTTTTTCTCTTCAGGTTATTGTCTCCAGTTTCAGTCTCGCATTTTCTCCTTTCTGCTCTTATCTTATGAATCATTTCTCCACTTCTTTGCTTCTACCCAGGCTAGTTTCACCCTCTGCATATCGGCTTTCGAAGGTGTATCTGCCCAAGGGACAAGGCGTCCTTATTTTTTTCCCACACACACCTCGGTGTTGTATAACTGAAGTGACCTTTAGCAATCTGCAGTAGAACCTAATAAATCCTGAGGTTGTTATGATGGAGTAACAACAGGCACAGATGAGTTTTCTCAGCCACACAATTCTCAGATTTTGTCCAGTTCATCAGGTTTTCTCATCCTGGAAAAGATGTTCATTGAAGTCGTCTTTTGCTGATTGAAACAGTTTTTCACCATTCCCCGACGCATGAAACATGACCTATTTATGCCTGATTCGGTCCCATTTCTGGTTATCTCTAAATCAATTTAAAAAACTACATATCTGAGCTTTCAGGACCTTCTAGTTGATTCTTGTTCTGAAGTATATTCAGCTGATAAATGATGTTCATCACCTATGCAGTAAATTTTCCTTTTTGCGGTTTGGAGGAGTTTTTACAGCTGTTCTTAGGAAACCAGATGTGTGACAGGAGGCTCATGAAAGGGCTTAACCCTAAACCAGGCACTTACAGCTTTTCTGTTTGCAGAATCCTTTGAGCAAATTTCTCATGAATTTGTGTCAAGAATGTCAGAACATTAAACAAATTTTAACTTGAAAGAAAGATAACTTGAGAAAATACAAGAACTAAAATGTGGACATATATTTCCTAGATATGTAGGTATAATTTTTGTTATTTTAGTGAATTAAAAACTTTTTTTCCATAAAGAAATAAAATCAGATTACTGAGATATGTAGGTATTTGTTACCCGTGTCATTAAATTAAAGGAGTTCTTTATAAAAATAATCCTATTTGTTTACAGATTTAAGCTGATTTGGGGCTTTCAAGGCAATTTTGAAGCATCTTGTCTTCATGTCAACTTTGTTTGTATAGCTCCTTTCCAACAACTCATGTTGCACAACATTCAACTAAAAAAACTAAAATAAAGTAACTTAAAACAGACGTTAAAATGAAAATGTTCAGGTCAACATGTTAAGCTTTCTGCTCAATCCTTGAATTCAACCTGAATTTTTGCTTTGGAAAAATATTTTCTAAAATAAATGTTAAATTCTTATTTTACCTACATTATTCACTGTTTCAAGACGTTTATTTGAATTTAAGTCTAACAATTACTGATTGGATGTTCATTTTCTGACGCTTGCTCTGATCCTCCGCTCCTGATTGGCTGTCTGTGTGATGATGCGGACATGACTCATCTTCTATTCTGAGCCAAAAAAATAGCTGACTTGGGGGTCCTGACCTTTTGTCTCCCTGGTGACTGGCCTGATGTCATCACCTCTTGTGGATCGACATCCTTCTCTTCCTTCTCGCTTGTTTTACTGCTCCTCTCATCCGTTCAGGTTTGTTGCACCTCCGAGGTGCAGGATGTGCGGATCGTGAGGCACACTCCCAATTACCATTAATGCAACTGACCTTGTTAACTGGCTTTAGTAGATTCACCGTCACACCCTTTCATGGCACTGAATGTAAATTGATGCTTTGACATTTGCTGTTATCATAAAAGAACTGATTAGAATGGGAACAATCAGCCACATGACGAGCAAAACCAGATGTTTTTCTTAATTTTCTATTCAAATAGAAAGACTGTATCCCAGCTTACTTATTAGAAAATTTAGTGTAAGACAAAATGTGACTGGATTAAAGTCATAGTCTGCCGAAATGCCACACCAATGTAGTGGTTCATTCAAAAAGAGCCCTGACCAAGTATAGACTTCATATGCTTCAGTGTATGGATATATCACTCAAGCTGAAAGTTTAAATCTGCAACTTTCTGCATAGTTTTAACATATGTGTTTATATATACAACCAAAGGGCCTTGTGGTTTGTTGGCAACAGGGTGGAGTGACTGACGTATAATAAATGGCCATTGGGGTAGACAAATTTGTAGAGCCGCGGGTGAACACACCTCCAATTTTCTATAACAACTCATTGTGGTTCCGATAAAAAAACGACCACACTTCGACAAAGAAACCCCAATTTTTTTCTTTTTCTTCTTTTGTTTCCTCGTCATTTTCTGCCGTTCACCATCTTCCCCTTTCTTTTCTCACCCTTTAGATGCCTCGCCGCGATCATGAAGTTCAGAAGTTCAAAGAAGGGCAAGAAGCTTGCAGGGGAAATGCAGGGATGCTGTCGAGCAGTGCCAGGTCGGTAATGAAAGCCAGCTTCATTCTTTACATGCTCTTACATCATCATCTGCACTGTTCAAGCAGCTGTTTTCCTCACAGTCCCACTGCTGAGGAACAACAGGTCCACTGCATGTGTTTTGTGTTTCTTGTGCTTCTTTATAAATGAGAAGTAGTGAGATGATGACATTTGCATCATAGAGCAAGATCATAATTTATTTCTAAGAATTAGCCATCAGTTTTCTTTTATGCTGCCGTTATTTCTATAAAATCTTGCATTTTGCAAAGCAAAAGTATTTAAAGGGTAAGAATCAGGTCAGACAACTCCCTCCACACCAAAGGAGTTTATGAGTCTGGCTATAATCTGCAAGTAAGATGGGGAGAAAAGTTAACTCTGCTTCCCTCTATTGGTGGAACAATCACATAACAGTACAACAAGTAAACCTATCCAAGCAAATACTTCAGTTTTATTAAAAGAAAAGACACAAACAGAAGAAACATAGGTAAATTCACTTTTATCCTTACACAAATACAAATGTATCATTGATCATTTCGTTTTTTATTTATAAAATATCTCCAGATAAAATCACTTAAAAGTTAGATTTTTGCTGAATATCTTGCCGCTGTCACCACTGCATGGTCTTTGAGCGGGTCAGCTTCCTGGTCAAAGCATTGCGGACTGTTAGCATGTAGGAGCGCCTGTCAGGTAGGGGGCGCTGCTGATCCAGCGTCAGCCTGTCGCACATGAAACAACATAGGAGAAACGCCAGGGGAGGCGAGGGACATAAGAAAATTAAGCTGTTTCTTAGCTCCCCCAAACCAGCAAAATCTTTTAAAATCTGAGATAGAATAAAGAACTAAATAATCTGGATTTTTAATTTGTTTATTTTTTAAGGAAAAACCTTCCAAACCTAAAATAAGATTTTTACATTTGACAGTGTGTCTGCTTTAACGTCAAGCTTCATCAATTTATTTATATTTTTTTAAATTATTTATTCCAGTCATTTATATTTTTTCCACACACAAGTAAAACAAAAACAAGCCATGCTAAAAAAAATCCTAAGCTAAACAACAAAGCTAAATAAAATAAAACAGGACAAAACTAATAAAGAAATAGACCTACAATATTTAAATTCCTGTCAATGACAAGTACATAAAGTGTAAACCAAAAAAGTCTACACTTTTATGTAGACCAAGCATTTAAGTGACATTCAAAATATTTTTTACATTGTTTAAATACAAAACATTTTTTAAATACAATGTTTTGTAAGGGCTGCATAAAATTTCAACATCAGTGATGTTTTTTGATCTAACCATATGATATGCATGACTGGTAAAATGTAAAATTAAAATGTTTTAGCAGTTTGTGTTAAAAAAAAAATGAAAAAAAAAATGCAAAAGCAGACCTGATGAGTTGGAAAATTGCTGCTTCCCCTGATAAAACTGCCTCAGCTACTGACAGCTCTCTGAAACCGCATCTGCACATAAGACACAGAAAGAAAATTAGCAGGGAAACAAATTGAAATGCTACATTTCTAAAGAGCAGTTGCACAAACATAAGTATACAAAACCCTAGATCTTTGGCGAGTCTCTGTCCCTCCTCTGTTGTCACCTTCCTGCCGACTTCCAGATCTGCCTTATTGGCTACCAGCACTGTAGGAAAAACTGACACACAATAAAATGGCAATAAAACAGCAGTGAGCAGGATGATGCCTTGGCATGCAGTCTGCCTACAGAGCACAGGATGGACTACCAAACAAGGAATGTGAGTTAGCTTCAGCTGCTCATGTGTGTAGGTGACAAAAGACAGATGTCAACCAGAGAACAAACTGTCTCTGGAGGGCAACATAATGAACACAGAGAGGTCAAAGGTTCAGCTGCATGTGTTCAAGGATCCTTAAAGAAACTTTCTCGAAAATTAAGGCAAGTACTATAACTTGAACGACTCCATGTAGTGAAGATGGTGATCGTTACCGAGACTTTGCTTGGTTTTGTCAATGAGCGTTTTAAGTCGAGGGATTTCCAGGAAGCTGGAGCGCTGAGTGATAGAGTAGAGCAGTAGGAAACCATCAGCCCAGCGAATGGAGGACTCAATAGAAGCCACAGAGCTCTAGAGCAGAATGTGTAATAAAATACTACAATTAAACCAGTTAGCATTATATGTAAGTCTTAGTTCAGAGACACATAGTCAAAAAAGCTCTCTAATTTAATGGTTTCTCATTAAATCAGTACCACTTTCCACAAGAAGCATTGTTGCTTTTGACAAATAAAATTTAAAACCAACCTTACAAGGTAAATCCAAGATTTCCAGGTCAACTGTTTCCTGGTCCACCATCCGACTGCATCTGTATGTCACCTCTGCAGAAATACCTTAGTCATTACTGTACGCTCCATGTCAGAAATGGAATAATATTTACTGGAATCTCACCGTTCTTATGGTCATATTCGCCAATAAAACGCTTCGTTATAAACCGAACACACAGTGCTGGAGATACAAAACAGACATGATCACTGCAAGGTGCAAACCTGAAGCACAACACATGCTGACTTACAAGAGAAATTTCACACATAAGGCAATGCTTCTGAGAGATAATCCCATTGAAGCAGGCTTAAGAACACAGAAAGAATTAAATTGATGCAAAATTCTGCAAATTCTAAAGAAAACGCTTGCAAACAACAAATCAACTAATTGAGAGGAGTAAGAGATTGTAAAGCAGTGCAAAGCAGAGCAAGATAGCGTAAAAAATGTACTTAAGTTCTCATAAAGAAACCTATTTAGAGATGATCAATTTATTTATTGGTATTTTCTGTTTGTATCAACACAAAGTAGTGCATTATTGTGCAGTGGAAGGAAAAGATAAAAGGTTTGCAATAAACATTTAAGGCACATAGATGAAAAGAAATGTAAGTTTTTCAGACTTAAATTAGCAATTTACTTTATCCTGGACCCATCATATCCACAGTCAAACATGGTGGAGGAAGCATTATTGTGCGGGCTGGGGGATACTTTTTATCAGATTTTAAATGTATAAAAATGTTACAATTGGTTTTGATTTTCTTTCCACATTAAAATCAGACATTACTCTCATAAAATACATTATTTGTTGTTTAATTTCAAAGGCACTGTTGAAGACGACAACAGTGACACAAAAGATTAGACGAGATCCAGAAATGCACACATCATATTTTATACCAGATTTTTACCACTGAAGCAAAAATCAGAAACACGTCCTTCTTCTAACACACATTACCTGTCCATGCTCACATTAATCTGACAGCAAAACATTTGAGGGTCAACTTCAGATCCATGCCAAGTTTCTATATTTCTTTGTCTTTTGAACCAGCACTTATCCCGAAACCTCTCTTTTGTTAGCTCAGGAACATTCATTCATCCAATCTGCTTTCCTTTACCCCTAGAAGTTTTAAGTTGTCCACTTTACCTGTTTTTCCAGTGTTCTGCGCTCCCAGAATGAGGAGTTTAACAGGAACCATTCTTTGCTATTTGTTCACACACTTCCCATCCAAGAAAATCCCTAAATTGGAAAAAAAAATGGAGTTACACACTACCTTTCAGAATTGAACAAACCAAGATGATTCAGTCAATATTTGCAGACTAATGTTATCAACAAGATCAAAGCAAAAAACAACCAAAGTATCTAGGGCAGTAAAAGAAAAACAGAAATCAGCTTGCCTCCCAGCCTCAGACACTACACAGATGTGACTGTCTTCTCTCCTGCAGGGTGCCTGAGTGACTCTGCACTTGTGTTTGGTTATAACAGGTCTTTCTCTGTAGACAGGATATGACAGGAGCAATTTATCCAAAGAAACAGGGTCCAAGTCCAAACACAAATCTTATTTTGGCTCCATTAAAGAAACATGTACACCTTTGCAGTGAATTAGACCATACAGAAACATTGTCTCATATAATATTGAGCTTTTGTAGTTTTGAATGTGCGAGCAACAGAAAAATGCTTATCTCATTAAGATTATAATTATTATTATGTAAATATCTGAGGGTGTCTGATCAATGCCGTGCTTCAGTTATTGATCATGTTTCAGCCGACATTTTGGCGCCTGCCTTGGCGCATGTGATGCGTACACGTTTGGATCCACTGTGTAGATAAATATTAATATCTATCAACAGATACCTTTAATTTCTACAGCACCAGTCAGTCGACAGTCACTTGAGCTTTAATCATCCCATCGCGTTCAAACAGATACATGTAAAGGTTTGAGTGACTTGCCCAGGGGCAAATTGTCCCTGGGCAACCGACAACTCTACTTGCTAAGCCAGTGGTTGAATTGTAACTAGTTACAATATTTGTTTCTAGACAATTAAATGCTCAGGAAGACAGGTTCTTGTAGGGAGCAACAGGTCGGTTTAAGAGACAGGGTAAAGAAGAGACAAATCATGTTTAGTTCTGCGCTGTTTTTTCTTTTGTTGTATTTATCTGTTGTTTTATGTTATTTTTGGCCCTGTAAAGCAATTTGGTCTTCTTCATTGCAGTTGTGTAGAGTGCTGTATAAATGATTGGTTATGAAGATGCATTATAATAAATGAACAACACTGCAGACTGAATAAAGGCATCCTTTAGATTTTATTTATATTTCTTAGCATTATCGAATAAAGCTGCTTCACAGAGTGAAAACAATGTAATGTATACAACAGGGAAAAGTTTAAATTATAGAACAACAGAGACTTGTGTTTCAGGGCAGATGGAGGTGTTCAGCAGACGGATGGCTCATCGATTGCAGCGGCTCCCTCTGTGAGAGCTTTGACACACTTGGCCATGGTTTGGGAAGCTCTGCTGATGGAGTCTGAACAAAGAAGAAGCATGTTTGGTTTGGCACATCTTTTCATTTTGAGCTATTTTACTAATTCATTGAGATTACCGGTCATATAGAAGTCCTTTGCGGTGATCTGAGGTGGCACCAGAGGAGCTGCAATGAGGTCCTGTTTTACACTCTGGGAATAAAGAGAAAAATTAGGAAAACGTTTGTGTCTGAGAGCAAGAAGAGGAAGAATCATTTCCTACCTTTGAGAGTTCATTGGCCTGTTTGAAGTAGTTCGCCTCCTCTACATCATCATAACGGACCAGGTTGGGAGAGACCTCTGCCAGCCTGGATCGGACCTCTTCCAGTGAGTCATAGGGCAGCGTCACACCCACCAACTGCAATCACAACAAACGCTCATAAAAATGTCGCTAAATAACTTCTGAGCAATGATGGTGGACTGACTCTGACCTCAGATACGGCTCTGATAATCTTCCAGTCGTCTCTGGCCATGCCAGGGGGAGTGACAGCCAGCTTGGTGTGCTGGCTGCGGCCCTCAGTGTTTACATAAGTACCGTTTTTCTCTGTGTACGCAGCACCAGGTAGGATGATGTCTGCCATAGGAGCTCCCACGTCCCCATGATGGCCTGGAGGAGTGAAAATTCATCTTAAGTATCCAGGAATGGCTGAAATATTTGCTGTGTGTGGTTTCTTGTAAGGATACCCTGGTAGATGATGAGGCAGTCCTTCGGCAGGTCGGCTCTGGTGATGCAGCCAGCATCAGCTCCAAGCAGGAACAGGACTTTGGGTGGATTCTTCCTGATTGTGTCAACGCCGGCCTTGTAGCCTAGATCTAAAGCAGCCACCTGACTGGCCACTCTGCACAAAAAGCAACACTTACGACCTCATGTTCTTCATTCCACATTTATCTAGAGCTCTAAAAAGCCATACCTGTGCAGGACGTTAAGGACCTTCCAGCCGTCCTCCACCCCGCTGCTGGCCCTGGCGATTTGAGCGATGGTGGAGACAGTGCTCAGGATCGCAGCACCGTCTTCTCTCTGCAGTGCACTGCTTCCCACAACCACCATCGGATGTGTTGCAGCTGCGAGGACCTGCAGACGAAGAAAGGAGAACCTGTATAAATAGGGATATGAGATGTCCACAATGATACGAGCAAGTTTGCGTGTCAGTCACCTGACTGAACGGATGCGTGCCATCGGCCAGCTCCTTCAGGACTGAACTCTTCTCTCCCAAGTGCTCATATGTATAAGTCAGATCAACCTGGTGGCCCACCAAGGCAACACGCAGTTCATTGTGAAGCCAGCTGCATACAAGAAAGAAGAAAGTCATGCAAGGCCTTGAAAAAGTATTATGTCAAGCACTTTCAAGGACTTTAGACAAAAATTAATCACTTTTCAAACCTTGAAAAGCATTTTAAAAGGACTTCAAGCACCCATACGAACATGTGTAAACTTTTCCACACGTTCCTCCCTGGCCTGTCTTACCTCTTACGGATCCTGGCATTGAACAGCGGAGCCTCATAGCGAGGGTTTGTTCCCACAAGCAGCAGGAGATCACACTCTTCGATGCCTGCAATGCGGGAGTTCAGCAGGTAATTGGAGCGCAGATCGGTGCTGAAGAGAGAGCAACGATTCAGCGCTGTTCGATATTAGGAATGACATGAAGTGGAAGGGAAGCAGAGCCTTCCTCACCCTGCTCCTGCCATGGGGAAGACCTCCTCGGTGCAGAGGCTCTCAGAGTCGAGTCTGTTGAGGAGATCTTTGAGGGAAACCAGAGCTTCGGCGTCTGCCATCCCTCCAGCAATGGCCGCGACCTCGCTGCCCTGAACGCTCTGGAGCTGCACAGGTAATCACATCAAATTAGAACATGCGGTGAAACAGAAACCAGTAAAGCAGCTGTAATAAACTTACAGCTCCTGCAACACGAGTGAGAGCATCTTCCCAGGTGGTTGGTGTCAGCTGACCTGAATTGTCCTTCACCATTGGTTGGGTCAGTCTCTGCCTCTTCAGCCCATCATAAGCAAACCTGTGAACACATTTAATTAATTGATTAAACATATGAGGGAGGGGCACAAGTTCCTGTTTTGGTGTATTGGTGCATCACCTGGTTTTATCAGAGATCCATTCTTCATTAATGTCTTCATGCAGCCTGGGCATCACCCTCATCACCTCACCTCCTCTTGTGCTCACCACGATGTTGCAGCCCACAGCGTCCAACACGTCAATTGACTCAGTTTTCCTGCAAGAATGATGGAAATGAACAGAAATGTTCTGTTTTGCATGGTCATAGAGAAGCACTAAACCCTATTCTACCTTGTTTCCCAGGGTCTTGCGGTGAAAGCGTAGGGTTTGGAGGTCAGCGCCCCGACAGGACAGACGTCTATGACATTCCCAGACAGCTCTGACATGAACATCTTCTCCACATATGTCCCAATCTGCAACTCGTTTCCTCTTCCCGTCGTTCCCAGGTCTTCCACTCCGGCAATCTCGCTGGCAAAACTGGAAATCAATTCAGAAAGACAATGATTTAATCCTTGCCGATCAGCTGACCTGGCCAGACGTATGTACGGTTCACTCACCGGACGCAGCGTGTGCACTGGATGCAGCGGGTCATGATGGTCTTGATGAGTGGTCCGATGTTTTTGTCCTCCACTGCTCTCTTTCCTTCTGTGAAACGGCTGCGGTCTGAGCCGAACTGCATGGACTGGTCCTGAAAACAGATTTCACTTTCCCAGCATCTACTGCCTAAGATCCTATTATAGTCTTTCTTGTGGACAGAGTCAAGCTTACCTGCAGGTCACACTCTCCACCCTGATCACAAATGGGACAGTCCAGTGGGTGGTTGGCCAGCAGGAACTCCATCACACCCTCTCTAATGGCACACGTTCACAAAGTTTATTTGCCATCTTCTAAATCCTAAAAGCATCGTACTGTGAAAATCACACCGTGGTCACTAAATCCTGTACCTGGCTTTGCGTGTCTTTTCCGAGTTTGTGAGGATATTCCAACCTTTCATAACAGGCATGGCACAGGCTGCCACTGGCTGGAGAGCACAAGCATACCCACATTATAAACTTTGTCATAAGCCATCTCAGGGTGGAGCCCAATAAGTTTAATACTTCTTCAGCCCAATGTAAAAATACCTTGGGGGCTTTTTCGATCTCCACAAGGCACATCCGGCAGTTTCCTGCAACTGACAGACGCTCATGGTAGCAGAACCTTGGGATTTGAATTCCTGCTTTCTCACAAGCCTGCAAAGGAAACCAATCAGCCATTCAGACCTAAAGAAAGAGCTGATATATGTACCGGCCTGATCGGAATATCTCTTTCAGTTGTTCAAAATAATCATCAGTTTTTACATTTAGTAAATACTTAAATGCATCGCGACATACAACTCTTAGTTTGCATCAACAGCGTCTGAGGATTCTTACTTGTAGGACTGTGGTCCCAGGCTCCACTTCCACTGGTTTTCCATCTACAAACACTTCCACCATGTTGCTGGCAGCGCGCACAGCAGAGCGCACTAAAGATGCACAAAGAAAATGAACGATTAGCTTGATCAGCAATTACAGAAACAAAATAATTGACATTTACTGCTTCGCTACAAAAAAGTACTCAATTTATCATAAGATTTTTTTTTTTTTTTTTAACTCTGATGTTTGGCAATAAAACCGAAACAGTAAGTGTTGTTGGATCTTACCAGGATTGGAAGGAGCCAGGCTGCCCTTTGCAGCCCCGGCTAGAGCTCGACCAACTGCTGGCAGTCGCAACATGACGCTGCAAGGCGAAATACTGAGGCTTATTGTGACATGCAACAGAATACACTGCATTAGAGAAAAATTGTTTCATAAAGTTCTAAAGATGCACACCATTTTTCTAAGTTTCAGACTTTTCCTGACTCAAATTCATGTCATTTTTTGAAGTCGCTAATTAATACATTATTAATGTGTCTTACATTAATAATGTAAAATATTAATGTTTGACAGGAGTCAAACATTAATATAAACACAGGAACTAAACACAGGAACATGAAGCTGGTTAATAAGAAAATTGAGAGGGATACTTTTAGTCATTCTTTGTTTCACTTTTGTATTAAATTTAAAAACAATTTTAAGAGACTAAGTTTTGTATGTGGAACATACAAAATATGTTAAACTTGTTTGAATGAAGGGACAGATTATTCTTTACAAAATACTATTGTAAACTAATTAAGACTTGAAATTGCCTTTATTAATAATCAATAACTAGAAAAACCTCTTGTATAATAATAATAATAATAATAGCAGAACAGAGCAGATAAAGGCAAACGGTGCTTAAAAATGTCTCTGACACCTGCAGACTGTGCTGTAAGAATAAGTAAGATAATAAGTAATATTGACTAATGAAGCTGGTAAAAGAGAATTATTATTAATCTGGATCAATAGTTAGCTCCTGTCAACAATAACAAGTGTCTTTGCTCCCAAAGTGAATTACCTGACGTTTCTCTGACATTTGTAGGAGTAAGGACAGACCTAAGTTTTAAAAATGCTACTTGATGAATAACAAGTTTTATTTAATAGAAAATGAGGTGGTTGCATGAATCTCCCAGGGAGCTAAGAAGTTAGCTAACAGTACTCAAGGACACGGACAGTGAGGGTTGTTAGACGGAACTAAAAGAATCGCGCTCCAAAAGATCTGTTTTCATCCGTATTCTGCTTGCTTAACATGTCTGTCTGAACATGCATACATGTAAAATACGCTGTTGGTTCTCACCTTTTGCTATTTGGCCTTCTCGACCAGAACAGCGGTGATGTTAGTTAACTCACCGGAGAAGCGGCTATGGCGTCAACGGAAACGCTACGGTTAACTTCCGCTATACGTCCTGAATTTTCACAATATGACTCTTTACCCTTCAAAATTTTTATGCAAAACTGACACAATCTCAATTATGTCTAATAAGTGTTATGCTTATTATTATTATTATTATTATTATTATTATTATTATTATTATTATTATATTATTATTATTATATTATTATTTTATTAAAAAATTTTATATATATATATATATATATATATATATATATATATATATATATATATATATATATATATATATTATAATATATATATATTCTTTCTTTCTCTGTGTTCAATGAAAGAGGATTTTAAAAAAAACTATTCTTACTTTATTCCCAATGTTCTGGTTTAGTCTGTGTGTAATGTAAGTAGTGACTTGAATGTACATTGAAGTGTAAACTGTACTTTGAGTTTGGATGGTAAAATGTGCCACCCACTGGCCTGAAGGTAAGCGTGCGTCATATTTTTTTAAACCAAGACAGCCAGGCCAGCTGTAAGCAGAATTTTTAAAAATATTTATTTGATTTGCTTTTTTTATTTTATTTTATTTTATTTTCAGAATTCTGACTTTGATCTCAGAATTTTGACTTCATTTTGCCACTTAGCAGAATCACCTTAAACCGACCTGTTGTTCCAGAAAGTTAGTTCTCATCCTGCGCACCTCTTGTGATCTGCATTACCTTTTTTGGAAACGTGTGTGTTATGAAGTATAAATTTTGTTAAAGTTCTTAAATGATTTCTCATCGTACTTTCTTAAATAACAAAATATGTTTAGTTGTGTAGGCTATTGAGATCCATTGTATCCCCTAAATTGTGCCCAAATACTTTGTTTTTTCCTAGATTTTCATCTTGACGCAACAGTTCCTTTTTAATGAGGCCTTGAAAGATTTGAAAACGCGTTTTTTATTAGCGCGCATCAAGTTTCTTCAGAAAAGGCGCTGCAGACCGGCTGGATTTCATAGACTGCATTTCCCATGATGAAGTGGGGGAATTTACCGGATGTAACTACGTGTGCACTTTCGCGACTGTCCAGGAAGTGTTTTCCAAGCAGCAACAGAGACGAGAAGGAAAATTGTGGGTTTTTTTCGAGGAGGATTAACCCAAAATTAGGTAATTATTCAATGGCGAAGCGACTTTTTGTTCATTAAAATATCAGCCAGGTGCCGGTTTTAGATAGAACTTAGACAGGCCCTCTACTTCTCAGACTTGTTAGCAACAAGCTAGGTAGCTGGTGTTTGTTAACAAACAACGTGAAATATAAACGATTTATAATATTTTATGGCTTGTAAATTAGTATATTTTGATCCAGTACAGTCAAAAAAGGATTTTAGTGTTATGTTTATGATAAGAGATATATAATTCTTAGGTTTTGGATTTAGCATTGTATATGTAGCAGTTGGAGCTCGTGCTGCCTCTCTGATTTAGTTTTTTACCTCCTTATCAATGGTTTTTATTTGATATAATGATCAATATTTGAGTTGTGTCTGACTTACAATGCGAGTTACATGTATAATGCATGTAGCTGGTTATGCATTATTAAATCGTACTGTTGGAGGAGGTTTGCAAAACATGATACAACTGTACTGCAGATTAAATGTGCTACAAGATTTCTGTAAGCTGCTTTAAAACTCAGTTTATGTGATAACATTATGTGTTTATTAGATTTTTAATTATGAATATCCACAGTGCAATTGTATGCGAGTAGTATGACAAAACAACAGTGACCTGAAAATGGAACCTTGAGGAATCCAGCATGAGATAGTTGTTCACTCATTTTTGATTGCTGTCTTTCTAAACCTGTGTTTTCTGATTTTTCAGGCACCATGCTGCCGACTACCTCGCCCCAGAGTAACGGCGACCCCAGCTCCAGGGATGCTGCCCGTCACACAGCAGGTGCCAAGCGCTACAAATACCTGCGGCGACTGCTCCATTTCAGACAGATGGACTTTGAGTTTGCTATGTGGCAGATGCTTTACCTGTTCACATCGCCACAGAGGGTCTACCGCAACTTTCACTACAGGAAACAGACAAAGGACCAGTGGGCAAGGGATGATCCCGCATTTCTGGTCCTTCTCAGCATCTGGCTGTGTGGTAAACCTGAACTTGTATTTGATTAATAAATTAAACATTTAAATTAGCGCAGTTACTTCACATTGCTTTGTGTTTGCAGTATCAACGATCGGTTTTGGTCTTGTTCTGGACATGGGAGTTGTGGATACTTTGAAGCTGCTGCTGTGGGTGGTCTTTGTCGACTGTATAGGTGTTGGTCTGCTCATATCAACCCTCATGTGGTGAGTTACTCTGCTGATTAAAAATACCAAAGTGATCTCTGACAGCCACTCTAAAATAAAATTTTCTTTTCCAGGTTTATCACCAACAAATACCTGCTGAAACACCCGAGCAGAAACTTTGACGTCGAGTGGGGTTACGCATTTGATGTTCATCTAAATGCTTTCTATCCACTTCTAGTCATTCTACATTTTTTGCAGCTTTTCTTTATCAACCGTGAGTATGTTGTCTCCTTCTTGCTGTGTTGCACTGTGTGGATCTGCAGACAAACTCTTTATGTGGATGTGTGTTTTTTCTTTTTTTTTTCCACAGATCTCGTGGTGATAAACTCAGACTGGTTCCTGGGTTACTTTGTTGGGAACACTCTGTGGCTCATCGCCATCGGTTACTATCTCTACATCACCTTCTTGGGCTACAACGGTGAGACTTATGCATATCAAATTGATTCTGCCTGGCAGGAAACAAACATTTCTTTTTCTGCCACAAGGTAGAATATAGGTGAAGGTGTGTTTTTAACCATTGATTCTTTTTTACAGCTCTACCTTTCCTGTCGAACACTGTGGTGCTCCTCTACCCCTTCGCTCTGCTCGGCCTCCTCTACTTCCTCTCTGTATCTCTGGGCTGGAACTTCACCCGCGGTCTCTGCTGGTTTTATAAGTACAGAGTCCAGTAGGAACCTTTTCAATTTCTAACGGGATGCAAGCTGGTTCCAGATGAACTCAAAACAAACAAAAAGAAAAGAGAAAAAGACTCTGACTTTCTGTTTCTAGCTGAATGCGGCTGAGAGAGACTTCTTTCTGACTCCTGGAGAACTGAGACTCTGGCTTGATTGAGGCTGAGCTGGCTCCTGTTGGTTCTGTCAGCTCTTGTGTTGAACTCCAGTAAACGGCGATATGTTTGTACTTGCTCCAGACAAAAAAAACGGGACAAACCAAACTTTTATCAACGTCCTCCTTGTGTGACTGCTAAATAGTTGTAACATAAGCCAAAAGGTGTCATTTTGAAGAAAAAACAATGTTGGTTTTTAGTTGTGTTTGAAAAAAAACCCCACAGATAATCCTGCTTGATGAAGTGGAGACACATGGGATGCAGATATTTTTTCTTCTTTCCTTAAAGTGTACATTCCAAAGCACTTTCAATAAAGGGTTTTATTAACTTAAACTACCTCAGTTTGGGTGCTTGGAGGAGAAACCCATATTTTCCTGTAGTACTTCAACATGCGTTAGCCTTCTACTGGGGATTTTTTTCAAATGTTTTCTTGTGATATTCATTGCATTGGAGTTCCCATTAAATTTCTGGAATGTCAATGTATCAGCACACTAATTTAGACCTTTAAGAATTGATTGAGGTTTAAGTTTGTTCTAACTTTCTTAGTTATCATTGAACTAAAAGCTCTGATTGGATTCTTTTAGATCTTGCAATCACAGAAAAGGTGATAGTCAAGGGGGTGGGTGTATTCATAAAAACACACAAAAAACATCTGAATAAGAAAGCAAAGGTTTAATTTTGCAACTATTGTTCTGCATCCTCCAAAACATTTTCTGTTTATTAAAACGCATAAAAATCTGTCAGTGTAGGATAAAAAATTAAACATTCACCTGGTTGTATTGTCTTAATTCTAAAATATAATCCAGAGCAACCAATTGCCTGGTTTTCAAAAAACAGGGTTAAATTTTTAAGTTCAACATATAAAGAAAATATGAACAAGAAAAAAAAGACCCAATCAGTTGTTAACGCAACCAAATTGTTCTTCTTTATGCAGATTAATGCTGGCTGAAAGATATAGGAAAATGTTTGCCTTAAATGGTGGTGTATATTGAAACCCAAAAACTCATTTCAGGTTCTTCTCGAGTTACATGATGATGTTTCTACTTTACGGCGTCGTACAGCATTTTCTTCAGCTTCTCCAGGTCGGCTGTTTTCATGATGACGGCCTTGTGCTCCTTCTTCAGGTGCTCTATGTGGTCCAGCACCATCATACCCCGGGTGTGTATCCCATTCAGCTCCACTGTCACTGCCACCTGCCGGAGGAATCACTTTTAACCAAGTTGGGATTTTAAAAAACAGCACTAGAGACGGGAATGGAGGCTCACCTTCTCACTCTCAATTATGAATCCGTCATCGACCGCAGCGGCAAGCGCGAACACGTCGCAGGGATTGAAGCCTTGCCCAGCTATTACTTCTTTTTGATAGTCCTCTGAACGAGCTTTCTGCATGCACATTAAACAAGACTGCAGCTGCTGCAACCAGTTGTAAAAACATTGCATAATACTGAACTTACTTTCATTGAAAGATCTGATATCTTCCTGATGAAGGCAGCCTTCTCTGTCTTTATGGACAGCCACTTGTCCCAGAAAGACTGACAAAGAATTTAAATAAATATTTAATTGCATTCAATTGTTTCCATTTTTTAATTAAACCCACCGGGTATGATATTTGTCACACTTTTAACTATCCTGCATTCTTATTTGAATTGTATTTTTGCCTGACTTTGGTTACGCAAAAATGCAAATAGCATTTTTACAGATTATGTATTGTTTTTTTCTTTTTTTTCTTCCAGTTGTCCAAATGCCTTCGAGACTTAACAGAATAATTTCTGTCATTTGTTCACATTTTTGATAGAACGTGATGTGTCAAGGTGGTTAGATTTGTTTTTTTCCTTTAACCTTCTTGGTTAAATAAAACATTAGTTGTCCAAACTCTCAATTTTCACATGAAACATTTTAAACTGCAGAGAGAGTGGTACATTTTTATTTATTGTAACAATAACTATAAATGTTTGTGAATGATTTTTGAAAACCCTAAAAGCTGGCTGTACTGTCATCCCTGATTTTCTCCTGTTGGTTCAATTAGAGAATCAACAAAATGAAAAAAATATTTTATGTTTGTGGAGCTTTGACTGGAGTGGCATGCAGCTCCCAAAAAAAAAAAAAAGACAGAAAGGAAGTTGTAAATATTTCACCTGACCCTAATATCAGTATTTCAGTGTGTGAGTTTATCTTTTCAGCGAAAGCTATTAAGAGCCATTGTGGAAGTGTGGAAGGGCCGAAGAGCTTTTGGAGGTAATTAAAGCAGTAAATCTTATGTGTAATTGCGTTTGTGTTTTAGGTCTCACCCATGAGAGGCTGCTCTTGCAGCTGAACTCCCACGCAGCGATGTAGGTGGGACAGGTGTAGCGGTCCAAAACGATGAAAGCCGCTTCAGGATCGGCCACGAAGTTGAACTCTCCACATGAAGTGGTGTTACCCCGAGCTGTGAACGTGGATAAAGCAGGTGGGTAAATAAAAGAGACTCAGTGGGTTGAATTTCTAATAAAAAATAAAGTCTGCCCACATTCAGTGTTTCCTCCCATGATGTAGAGCGCTTTCAGTTTTTTGGGGAAGGAAGGGTCCAGCTGCACAGCGACTGCAAGGTTAGTCAGGGGTCCAGTAGCCACAAGGATCACCTGCAAGCCACAATACATATACATTTGGAGTATGAGGCAGATTACTGAAGGCGGTTTTGTATTGGTGACAAAAAAGTGTGACTGTGTTAAAACCTATGTTCCCACCTCTCCTGGATTTTCCCTTGCAATTTTAAGCATTGCCTGTGCAGCTCTCTTCTTCTGCAGCAGCTCCACACCTGGAGCATCTGGGTCTGGGACATCACCGAGTCCGTCTTTCCCATGATAATCTGATGCATGTTGTTTTCTGGCCAGCAGAGGCTTTGACAAACCCTTATAGACTGGAATCTGTTGGACAGAGCGTGTAGTTGTAAAACATCCCTCAAAGTCAATAAACCAGACTAAGAAAACCTCTGTTTCGACGTACATCCAGCCTGTTGCAGACTTTCAGGACACGCAGGGTGTTTGTGAGGACGTTCTCCAGAGGAGTGTTGCCGTGGCAGCAGGTGATCCCCAAAACCTCCACATCTGGAGCAGTGAGGGCAATCATGATGGCCTGAGCATCATCGACTCCAGTGTCAACGTCGAGGATCAGCTTCTTCATTCTACAGTAAACATGTATGTTTGTCTATTGTAGTCCTTTTTGAAAAGTGCTTATAAGACTTTACAATTTTTCCATAAAATCTGAATTGACATATTTAAATGCAAAGTTTGCATAGAGTTTTGAAAATGGCCTTATTTAATGCATTTTAGCAGAAGGAGTGCACGATAGTAATGAGATTCGAAGCATTTAGATGCACAACTGATCTGAAGATGAACTTTGTAAGGTCATTTTAAATGTAAATCAGGCTCCATATGTAATTAAAATTTGAGATACAGTTAAATTATTATTCAGAATGTCAGAGAACGATGCAGTAATTATACATTTCAAGCTTGTAAAGTGAGGCATTTTTCTAGAAATTTTGTTGCTGTTTGAAATGGGTGCTAACAAACCCAGGAACACCAGATATGTGAGGAGGCCAAAGCAACCTTGTGAGAGGTTGAAATATTTGACCCAAGTCATACAGTTCAAAGGCAAATCTGGATTTTAAGAAAAAATGTATTTAGACTTTGAAGAAAGTCTCCTGCCCATTTTTGTGGCATTCCTGTTTTAAAGCACCATCTCCTTCTGGATGCTCCTTTAATTTCTGTCAGTATGCATTTATTTACATCTGAAACTGTGAGGAAAATGTCTCATATGAAAGTTACAAATTATCTTGACCCATATACAGTAAATGAAGTAAAGGCAGGATGCAATATGCCAATCTCGTGTCAATCTTGTCAACTAAAATGACTCAAACTGCTTCTTTTGCTCAGAACAGAAGCAGAACCAGTCGGCACTAAACTGGGTGACCTGGAAGACGATCCCCTCCCTCCGACTGCAATATAAGGTAAGGGAATTTTTTTCTTTTCCAGGTTGGGTGGAAAAAAATGTTTTACTTTACAAGAATGTGTTACTTTACACGATTCCCTCTGGCTGCAGAGCAGCACAGGTGTAATGTGACATCACTAAAATGAAGCCCCCAAATTGCGCTCTAGGGTGAATATTCCCGCATTATTCCTGAGCCTTAAAAGATAAGGCATTGCAACGGTTCTGCACTATTAGAACTAATTCCATTATTTATAACTTCTTTTTTTATTTTTTAGTTGCGGTTATCATCCTAAACATGTAAAAAAAAAACAAAAAAAAAAACCAACTTAAATACAACAATCGTATGCACTGGTGTGACTACAGGAACATTTCTACTGTCATAAATAATTTCTGGTACCAGACCACACCAAACTGAGTTGTTTTACGATGCCCTGAAATGATCAAAACAAAAGACTCACCTGCAGAGTGAGCGGACCAAAAAGACAAAGAATGAGGAATGGCTTGGAAAGCGACTGGGTGTTGCTTTTATAAAGAACAGCTCAACCCTGAGGATATGTGAGAAGGAGCCAAACTCCCTCCTTATTTAGTCTTTGTACGTTAGAAAACATTGGCTGAATTTTAGTTGCTTTCACCATGTTGAATAATGTGAAAAAGTATTTGCCCCTTTACAGATTTCCTGTTTTTAATCATAGTCACTCTTAAATCGCACCAGCTTTAAAGTCATATGTAACCCGAGGAAATACAAAATATAATTAAGTTGTTTCATTCATAACGGGGCCAGGCTTTTTGGCAGAATACATCCAATTCCTGAAGCAGTAAAGCAGCCCCACATAATCACACTCTCAACATCTGTGGCTGTTTTTATGTATTTTTTTAATATAAAATTCAGTGAAATGACTATTTGAAAGGCTTTCTTTTTACCTCTACAGAATATTTTTTTAATAGTTTTTGATTTTAAATTGATGTTACATGCAGTCCTTTAAGGAATCTGACAAATCCCCCAAAAAACTGTGAAGTCAATGATTGAGACAAAAGGTGGAGATAATTCAAAGGAGCAAGGAGGCAAGGAGACATTCCTTTGTCTGACATGTAAAGACAGCTTCTTTCTTTACTGCTGAAAATGCAACAGGATTCACAAGTAAGAATTTTATTTTAAAAATTGCTGGGTATTATAAGAAAAAAACAAAACAGTAAGTTAGAAAAAATGAGAGCAGGTGCAACTCTTTTTTTTTTTACTTAAGTCATTTGTATCTTACAAAATTAGCACATCTGCTGTTTACTAATACCAGGAGCTCTATAAATCTTCATATGGACATACAAATTTTACAAAGGTGAAGGAAGTCAAGACAGAACAATAATTGGCAATAAAGAGCATTCCAGTCTACTTAAAATTGAGTATACTGACATTTATAACAACTATAACATGGCTCTCTTCCATGTTTATCCCTCTGGAAAGCAAGAGGGAATATGAACAAATAATGTTTCTTATTTTTAATATACTGTCTAGCAGCAATTTAAATGTCAAAAGTAGTTTTTTTTAACTACATATACTGACTAGGATTTAGGAGGTATAATTTAGATCTCTTTATGAAAAGAGAGGACGATTAAAGAAACTCAAATAGTTATCAGTTCATAGTTGGAGGTGGTCAGTAGATCTTGCAGAATTTGACCAGGACAATTTTTGTCCCATGCAGACTGAATATCAGACTGACTTCATTCAGGCGACTATTATGAATACGTCTCTCTCTCTTCGAAGTGTGATTTTAAGCAATGGTAGATCAGTAGTGGGAAAGTAACTATTCATGTTTCTTGGGTCCTCATTGGTTCTTCAAAGATGGGATGTTGTTCATGGGATGGTACTCATCCTTCTCCTCCAAAGCGTGAACATGATACCAAATGTTCTATTTTGATTTCATCGAACCCTCTGCTGGACCATCTACATAGTCATGGCCTACACTTCAGACAGATCTGGAGATGTGCTTGGAGATTTCAATCCATGAAAACCCAGCGTGCAACTATGGCCACATTTGAGATTGTGGTCATAGGTCACTGAACAGGCCCTTCCGTGTAGTTTTGGATTGATCCTTCGTTTTTCTCATGATCATAGATACTCGGCAAGACGAGAAGAAGATAAAATGCTTTACTACTAACTATAGCGGGCAAATGTGAACCTGTTTTGTGGCTTTACAAAACCTGTTGGGACCTGTGCCAGAACAGTGCAACTTAGAAATATAGACATAAACATATTCACACACAAAGTATATCTCCTATGTGAAAACTTTGTGATTTGCATAAAGTTTTTGCACTACCCTCTGCAAACAATGTTTATGTTTTCTGTTTATATACCCATACCTTAAATCACCTGACATTTTTATGTTAACATGAAAAATCTCTAAAAGTGAAGGAGGACAAGATGGAACTTTGTCTTTGGCATTTTGTCACATTCCTCCTTTGTTATGCATGTCTATGTCTGTAAACACTATACTTGGGTGGGGCTCCTTCTGCATGAATTACTGCCTCAATGTGATATGATATGGAGGCAACCAGCCTGTGGTTATGCTGAGGTGTTCAGGAAACAGCAATTGCTTTGATAGCATTTGGTGGGTCTCTCATCATCCTCCTGTTAATGCCCCAAAGATTCTCTCAGGTCAGGCCAGTGAAGCACAGTGACACAGGCCCTTAATAGGCCTGCATTACTATTGAACCAACTATTGAATATTTGGTTCAATTGTCATTGAACTAACTTTAGGTACCGTTGACTGTTTGGACCAATACCAAACCCTGCTAGGAAAAAAAAAATCCATTTACATTTAAATTGCTTGCATTTGCATAGGGCTGCAATTAATTATTTTAGTAATCAGTTATTCTTATCTTTTGACGATTGATTGATCAATGAAACAGATAAACAATTAGCAGACTTTCAGTATGAACTTCATTATGAAATAGAAGTGAATTGAACTAACAAAAACTTACCCAACCTAAAATGTAAAAACATAGCACTTAAGCTTTATTTTTTTTGACAAAGGATGCAGCTAAAGCTAAAAAAATACTTCTCGTTTTGGCTTAACTGCAGCTCACAATATGTTGTACTTTTAGCAGTGCTAATTTAGTTGACGATTATTTCACAATGAATCCCATATATCGTTTCAGCCCTACAAATTTATGCTTACAAAATGCTTCTTGAAGTAAAATAAATGTGACTGATAAAAGGAGACAGTTTGTGCATATATATTTTAATTCAAGCATTTACAAAATGCTCAAACTCAGAAGTCTGCCTGCAGAAAAATACTTACTGTGATGCATCAATATTTTGTCGTAGAATCAGGAACAGGAAGTGCTTGTTATCACAGTGTTCTAACATTGAAAATAAAAATAAGCAGAACAAAATGGCTGCTTTTAAAGTTTCACATGTCCTGATAATTATTTCAGTTTAACTTCAAACATAAATCTTTATTTACAAAGCAGGGAGAGTATTTTCCTTTATTTGTCTGGCTCGCCTCCTTCTGCATCTTGGGAGCTGGGTTTGGGCTTGGCAAGGTTGGCCCTGACCCGGGCCTGGTCCACAGCGTCCAGCAAGTTTTTGGAGTCCAGCGCTAGCGTGTGGGCGGCGGCCAACATCTGTTTCTGACACTCCTCCTTCAGCGAGGTTACAGAGTTCTGCTGGGCGAGCCGCATCTTGTTGATGAGCTCGCCCAGATCCTTGTTCAGGAGTTTCTTGGTGCCTTCGATCTGAGATGGGTGGGAAGTGAAGCGATAGTCGTATCACTCTGAAGATAATTTCAAAACCTTTTTTCACCTATCTTATCCATTGTTTGGGTGACAAACAAATATCATGATAAAGCTTTAAACCAATAGATGAGGCATAAACGTCTGAAGTTTACCTCTGTGGTGACTGAGCTGTGCAGAGACGGCAGAATCTCATCTACACTTTGAATCAGATTGCGGAGAGTGATTCCTACAGCCTGCAGACAGCAAAATGAGAAGAAGTGAATAGCGCCCTCTTCTGGTCTTTTCATTTACAACCAATGATGAGGAACATGGAGTCAGCAAGACTCTGAGATGAGTGTACCTTGACAGCGGTGGGATACTCCGAGGCGGGCAGCGTGTTGACTTCGTTCTTCAGCTGCACCACCTGCTTCACCATCGCCATGACGCCGGTGTAGACCTCGTCTCCAGACCGGTCCAGCTCGGCTGTGGGCCGAGTCTGCGACAGCAAGACACAGAGCCTTGAACCCTTTCACTTCCTGAATCATTTTGTGAAAATGACCTGAGAGTGAGGTTTTACCTGAGAGGCGGTGGGAGGCATTGAGGGTTTCTCCGGGGGACCTGACTCAAAAAAACAAACTTTGACTCAAGATTCTTTAAAATATTTAATAAAATGTTCACTGAAGCTTTGATTTAGCTCTGAGTGCATGTGTTTGGTTGCAAGCTGGTTAATGAGCCAATCATTTGATTCAGATGAGCTGAATACTGGTCTGATTCTTGTGGGGGAGTATAGCAACTTGTCTGAGTCACACACAGAGAAAACTTTGGAAATCTTTGGCTCCACACGTCAAAAACTAAATGACTAATTATAAAATTATCTGAGAGGGAAACACGGGCCGAGCGAGAAGTTAGATGTCCTGGTTTTTCCCAACTGATCTTTGAACTTTGACGTCATGACTTGTGTAAAAACCTGTATGATCGAGACTCTCTTTTCTGGAAATGACATCCTTTAGGAACGTGAAGCGAATGAAACAAAGAGCGGAATCTCGTGCGACCAAAAACCAGTCCTGGTTAAATGAACAATAGAGAGAAGCAGTTTGGGGATCTTCTGTTCTCTCAATAAATGAACATGCAATAGCATTATTCCTTAGTACAGCTGATGGCATCAGGAAATAAAGCAAATAAAACAAATGATCAAGACTCACCATTTGCTGGGCTTTTTTCAGGAGGCTGTAGATAAAAAAAAAAAAAGAATTATGCCCATAGATCAATTTGACCACCAAAATACCAATGAAATATACAAAAATGATTTTTTGATTTTCAACATTTAGTTGTGCAGCAATACATTTAAACAAACAATATTTCAATAACAAATAATGGAGTCAAATCACTGGAGAAAAATTATCTGTAAATCCTCACAGATCCTAAGCATAGAAAGAAAAGCAGACTGTTTTTGAATATTTGAAAGAAAAAAAAGTTTGTCTTTCCACTTTACAATAATGTTAAATAAAAATAAATTGAAATGATATTACAGAAAATGTTTGAATTTAAGCTTTACAAAATATTAGTAAATTTTTTTAGGCAATTACATATTTTGTCCGTCTGCAGGATATAACAGGACTTGAAATAAGATAAACGATTCGGAGGGCCTCACTTTAGACACCCCTGATACATTTAAACTGGAAACATTTGGTTTCATTGGATGATATGAGTTACAACATTTATATTTCTTTTGGTTGTAGATAAAGTATTTTTTAAAATTTGTTGTCTACAGACATGTGATTCTTTTGCACCTTGCACAGAGACATTTAATCATATTCGTGAG